ACGACACCTTAATTCTTGGTCTTAGTTGGAATCTCGAAGACCTAGAATTTAATAATGGCGTGAAGTTTTGTCTGATCCTCGAGGTTTCTAAGATTGATTTCTTTCTGATAGAAATTTGTCATTTTTTCTGCAGGTCTGTCAGGTCTGAGTGCATCACTGTGCCTAGATAGTTAAGGTTCACATATTCTGCAAAGTCTGTGGTATTGCCAACCACGAAGCCGACTTCTTGAGAAGCTGCAATTAACCTTCACCTGCTCGTCATTTTAAACCTGCCCAACCGATACGACGGGAGACTTATTTCTTCATATCTGATAGCCACACAGCCTACCAGGCAGTTAGGAGAAGATATGGAGTAGAGTGGTTTTCTCACAGATCACACGTGGAAGTCAGCATCGCGGAAGGAACCACGAAGATCTCATTACCTCAGGTGACTTGTTCATGGTAAACTCATTAACCATTAGGTTGAAAATACAGCCCAGAAACAGAGTGCAGAGTAGCTCATATTTCACGCCTCAGTCTTTCCTTAAAGGGAACTTGTTAAATGGCAGCCTAGCAATAAATCAATACACTACATAAATCTTTAGTACTAGATGTGGGTTCGGACAGGAAAAAGATGGACCCAGGTAACTAAAGAAGAAAACAGATGGCTATGATACATAGGCAAAGATAACAAAGAAGAGTTCGCAATGTAATGTAAGTTGGAGAGGAGTCCTAGAAAACTGATACACCATTTGCATAAAGTACTTTACAGTGACTTAAGCCTCCTTGAGAAAGATCAGATGAATATTAGCATTCTCTTCTGGTTTGTTACAGTTTTAAATATTTTATGTTTAACACCTTACCATCTGGGAAATGTTGTGATTAAGGATATAGTTTTGCTTTCCAAATAGCCAGTTTTCAAATAATATTTTTCAACATTTTTGAATAATTTTCATTTCCTCCATTGTGATTCTCTATTCAACATCTACTAAAATTTCTATGTCTGAGTTATCTTGTAGTTGAGTGTAGGAATATTACACCACCTTGATTATTGGGGCTTTGAGATAGATTTTAATGTGTCCTACAAGTCAAGTTACTACCTTTTCTCAGAGTTTTCTTGCCTACATTCTTTCACTGATTTTTGCAGAAGAATTTAACAAACATTTTGTCAAGTTCCAAGAATAGGCATTGTCTCCCAAGAAGATGATGGTAAGAATTATTATTCACACTCAAATGGGATCTTAGTAATAAAAAAGGGAGGGGTTTAGTGATTGGAGCGGCAGCCTGAGCACAGAGGGGTCTCAGGTTCGATTCCTGGTCAAGGGCACATACCTGGTTGCAGGTTTGATCCCTGGCTCCAGTCAGGGTACGTGTGGGAGACAACCAATCCATGTGCCTCTGTTACATCAATGTTTCTCTCTCTCACTCCCTCTTTCCTTCCCTCCCTCCCTAAAAAAATCAATGGAAAAAATATCCATGGGTGAGGATTAACAAACAAAAAGGGTGGTGGTGGGAAGGGACAGCACTGTGGCACTATTAACGAATTGCACGCAAATAAAATACCATAGCACTCGCTCATTGTGGGCCAGGTACTGTTCAGAGTGTCTTACGTGTATTATTTGATTTAACCCTCAAAAAAGTCTATGATTCTCTCCACTTTAGAGATGTTTCATCGCTTGCCCCAGGGCATGCAGCTGGCACACCTTGGAGCCAGGGCCAGGGCCAGGAGTCAGTCGCTGCCGGAAACTGCTCTCAGCCACTGCACGACTGCTCTCAGGCTTGTCTGCCATGCAGAGTGCAGAGGTTACAGTAATTAATCCTGTATGAACATGTCTTCCATCTTTATTGTGCAAAGCACTTCTACATGCTTTCTCTCACGTGTGTCCCTTTCTTGGTGCAGGACATATATAAATGCGTAGTCAAACATATTGCCCTTATTAGAGAATGTTAACCACGGTAGAGAAGCCCGGGTTTATACCTTCATGAAGCTTCCCTCTTCAAGATGGTTTCTTTAGCTTTATGGTTTCCTTCATCAAACACATTGAAAATCATGGTCATACATCAAAAGATGGTTTGGTCCTGGCTGGGTGGCTCAGTTGATGGGAGCATTGTACCATACACCAAAAGTTTGCGGGTGTAATTCCCTTTCGGGGCACATGCCTAGGTTTTGGGTTCGATCCCCTGTTGGGGCACATGCAGGAGGCAACTATCGGTGTTTCTCTCTCACATCGATGTTTTTTTTCTCTCTCTCCCTCTCCCTTCTTTTCTTTTTAAAATCAATAAACATTTCCTTGGGTGAGGATTAAAAAAAACACGATGGTTTGTAAGTTGATAAGCAGGTAATTAACATTTAACATTCAGCCATGCTTATTACTGAAATTATTTCCATTGTCTTCATTAATTATTAGAGAATTCCAGAAAAATTGTTGGGAGGAAAAAGGCAAGATTATCAGCCACAATATCAACCCTTTTAGATTTCACGGTATGTTTACCTGTGGGAGAAGGAAAAATATGTGAACAAGATTCATAACCACAGGGAGTATGTAAGCCAAGCATGTCAAACTCAAAGGCTAACACCGGCCAAATGAACAAAGCATGTGGCCCGCGGGCCCCGAATTTGACATGCTTGATGTAAGCGCTATTTGGAATTGCTTCCTTAATGGTAGCCAGGTTTTCTACTCTCTCCACCACGATGGCCCTCAGGGAAGGGGCAGGTTAAAGTCCCTGTTAGGAAGGTAGAGAATGTGGGGAAGTGGGAAGGGAAAGAAAAGGTAAGGTCAGGGGTCAGCTGCTACCCTTCCCCCTCTGCTTTGGGCTTTACCTTAGAGCAGTGGTTCTCAACCTTGGCTGCACATTAGACTCACCTGGGAATCTTTTTAAAATCCTGATTTCTGGCCCTCATCCTCCAGAAATTCTGTTTCTTTGTTACTAATGTTGTGGCCTCACCCCATAACAAAGAAACAGAATTTCCGGAGGATGAGGCCCAGAAATCAGGATTTTAAAAAGATTCCCAGGTGATTCTAATGTGCAGCCAAGGTTGAGAGCCACTGCCTTAGAGGACGGGTTTGGTGAAATAGGAACGGACTGTTAGGTGTGGTGTGAGGGAGGCTGCAAGGAGAGTCCTGGTCTTGTCCAACATGGCCCTTCGCTCTCTTAAAGTGTACAATTCAGTGATTTTTACTGTATTCACAAGGTTATGCAGCCACCTTCACTTTCTAATTCTGTGATTCCTAACTCTACACCTGCAGCTTCTCTGAGCTTAGCACAGCTATGGCAGAGTGGACAGATATAAATGCAAAGGACCAGACTGATGTTTCTGTGTATTTATTTATTTGTTTGTATATTTCATTTTTTGTTAATCTTCACACAAGGATATTCTTTCCATTGATTTTTAGAGAGAGTGAAAAGGAGGGAGGAGGACAAAGAGGGAGAAACATCGATGTGAGAGAGACATTGATTGGTTGCCTCCTCCACGTACCCTGGGCCACGTATCAGGGCCAGGGATGAAACCTGCAACTCAGGTAGGTGCCCTTGACTGGGAATCAAACCCACATCCCTTCAGTCCAAGGGCCAATGCTCTAACCACTGAGCAACCGGCCAGGGCTGTTTCTGTGTAATTAGCTGCTTCCATTGTTCAAAACACCCCACATTCTGCGTGTATCCAAAAAGCTGGCTCTTCAGATAAAGACCAGATGCAGGTAGCCTCAGTTATGTGTGATGTATGTCAGACCTAAGATTCCATAAACACCAATCTCAGTGGAAGTAGCTGGCCCACATATTTGAAGACTATATGCAGGTGTCTTTAGCATATTCATATAAATTACACAGTAATGTGATCTGAGAACTTCTTTAGCTGAAGTTCCCTCGATTCGTAATCAGAAATCCTGATTCCAAAGCAAGGCCTCCTTTCTTATCAATAGGTTGACTAGATGGGCGAAAGGTTAATGCACACATTAGAGGCAGATGAACAGGATCTCATCTCCAGAAAATGGGAGGATTTCTTGTAAATCACTTAGTCACTCCTTTGAGAACATAGCAGGAACCAGAAGTTCCATTAACCTTAGTACCATGAGAAGAGTAAAACAATGAGCCAGAGTGCTCCATTAGGGAGTGAACAAAAGAGAGAATAAAACAGAGGAGAGGTGGGACCAGTAGGAGAGGAAGAAAAAAGCACAGGGGAGGGGCGGAGGCGATGAGAAGAGAGGAAGGAGCAGAAACCTGGCCGGGCAGCAGCTGCTGCCGCCTGCCTGATGCGCCGCTCTGAGCGAGGAGCCTGGGTCACACACTTTTAGGTGATGTTTTTCTTTTCATGAAGAACAAAGGCAGTTTATTTTGAGAAGCTACTAACAATGCAAAGGAGATCCATAACGTTGTAATGATTTAAAAACACCCGTATTGCTTAGCCATCCGAATGCACACAAAAACAACTGTGTTATTTAGCCACGTAAACATTCAAAGGAATGTTGAAGGAACGAGGCTTGGAAAGGTCAGCGACACTGTGTTTTGCAGTAGGAGTCTGTGGCTTCTTCAGGAGCAGCTTCGTTAAAGTCAGTCCCCAGTGGTTGGAGCAGACCCCACCTGCAACTAAACCAGCGGTTCTCAACCTGTGGGTCGCGACCCCTTTGGGCGGTCGAACGACCCTTTCACAGGGTCCCCTAAGACCATCGGAAAACACATATATAATTACATATTGTTTTTGTGATGAATCACTGTGCTTTAATTATGTTCAATTTGTAACAATGAAATTGGGGGTCACCACCACATGAGGAACTGTATTAAAGGGTCGCGGCATTAGGAAGGTTGAGAACCACTGAATAAAAGCTTCCCTCGAAGTTAAGACTGAGGAGTTTTGTGCTCCCAGGAGACACTGCCAGCGCCCAGGAGAAAAGGGTAAATCACAGGTGCTTGCAAGAGCTCTGGGGGACTTTCCAATTACACTCTACTGAAGAGACGTTGCCTAGACAAAGGCGAATCGTCAGTCCCAAATAGGCAAAAAAATTAAGAGATTCTAAAGACACATATCATGTTCTCTCATAAAAATCATTTATTGGCACACCAGAAAGATCATTTTTTTTCTAGTACAGCAGCTTCTAGTCTTGCAATTCTGTGTAAACTACATGTTACAAGTCACTAGAAATCTAATTAGCAGGATGAATTTCATAAAGAACAAGGGTAACTATGAGTCTACAGCGGCCCAGCCATCGAGTCTCATTTGGAGAGTAAATCAAATATCAAACTAGAGTTGCCCTGCAACAGAGGTTTTCTGTAGCCAAGAGAAACCAGGACGGACGGAAACAGGATAGCACCCATTCAATAAATTAGGTACACGTGACTAGAAAAACTGTAACTGAGAGAACTAATCTAAATCAGGTAAGCACAAAACCAAATCAGTAGCTATTTACATATGTTACTTTTTTTGCCAAAACTTTAATTTGTTAGCTTTCCCATCCTACCTCTTCCCTTTTATTTGTTATTCTTGTTGTGAGTGTGTGTGTGTTGTTGTTTTTTTCATGGTGAATTTCTTGGCTCACTGGTGAATATGTAGACCACTAATCAGAACATCCTTCCAGGTCCTACATTTTCTAAAATGTAATGTTAAACTAAAGAATCTGAAGGGGATGTTATATGCCAGTCTCCCTCTATAGAAGTAACAAGCATTATCACTTTGCTATCACTCATAGCAATTGCATACAATTTCATTTTCTTCCAAACATTATTTGAACAGCTCTAGGAAGGCAGGTTGTAATGGCAGCAGAGAGGATGGATTTGTTCATCTGTCACAGGCACAGAGAGCAGTACGTGGGGTGAGCGTGTTTATCCTGAGAATGCGATAAGATGGCCCGAAACCCAAGATTCCCACTACTGAGGACGGGCCCACCTCCTCTGGCCACTATTCCCTACTCCCCCTACATTTTTAAGGCTTAGTATCATTGAAGCATTAACCAGTAAGAATGCTGACATCATTTCTACTAAGGAAGGGCTCTGTGATGAATGGCAGCAGGTACCCTAATTAAAACAGCACGGTGGAAAAGGCATTGAGTGGGTATGTTTCTGGTGCTATGGCCAAAATATGTGGATTTTTAGCATCATGGCAGGGGGTTCAAAAGATCTTGCCAATGAGCCTCTCTTTCCCTTGTTTACTTCCTTTCTAGTTTACTTCCTTGCAGTTGCTTCTTTTCAATTTGCTATCATTTTATTTTGGGTTGTTCTCCTAGGAGGACAGAGACCACACCTGTGTCCTCACCAGTCTCCTGTGTCTAGAATAGTGCCTGGTCCATCGTAGGCTCTCAATCAAAAACGTGTATTAAAGAAATGAACCAAATTGTTAAGTGCCCTGGTCTGCTTATGTCTGGAGACTTTCCGTTTTCATTCAATGACCAGGGTTCTGGCCTGTCCTAATGACGCAGCTATCCTAACGGCCCTACCCACGATGTAGGTGTGTAGCTGATCCTTTTGTGCTTCAATGGATAAGGAAACTTTCCAAGGCTACCTTCACTCTGTCCACCCCCCAAAGATCAGCTATGCAGAGCGAACACTGCACGAGGGGTAGCAGGGCAAGGACATTCTAGGAGGTGAACTGCAGGCTCCAAATTCAGCTCCTTCTTCCCTACCTCTCCCTACAGCCTCTGACAGAAAGCTTAAGAAAACAAGTTATCAGGGGAATTTCCTCTTGGCAGGGCCAGTTCCATATGTCACTGATAACACGACCAGCAGGGAAACACAATGTCACTCACCTACATAAAAATGAAGTTAACTAAAAGCAAAATCTGAGAGAGGAAACGAAGCAACACGTGGGCTGTCTGGGTCCTTCGCTGGTTGGAATTGCTGAACATGGGAGCGCACGCAGGCATTACAGCAAGAGAGAGGTTGGGAGGGAAGGGGCGGAGCTGTGGGGTGTAACTAGCATAGAGGACCAGCTTTGCTCTCCTCCTTCTCCCTCTCCTTCCAGCTCTCTGGCATCCCACCACGCTCTGGCTGAGCTCCTTGCAGTTGCTTCTCAGGTGGAGGGAAGAGCAGGCAGCTGGCGCTTCCGCGGCCCATCCTCAGGCTATTGATGCTCTGCTGGAGTAGAAGTCGGGGACTGGGAGCCCGGTGTGGAGCGTGACCTGGGGGAAGAGACTGTGAGCCCTGGGGGCACAGGCAGGACCACCCCCCCCCCCCGCACCCTCCTTCCCCGGGCACAGTGGGTGTGTTCCTAATTCAAAAGGGATCTGCTCGCTCTTCTTTAACCTGTACCCTAGAACACGTTGAAGAGAATTGTAGTAGAATTCAGCCTGTGCTAGGAACCTGGTCATCATGGTGGTCATCCTGGAGACACTCGATACTATGGTCCTCATGTTAAGATTCTGGAGAGGTTGTGTTCCTTATGACTAAAGACCCAGGCATTGATCTGCAGGTAGCAAAGCCTGTTGGCCACATGGTAGTGATCATTGCCAAGTCCATGGTTAGAGAACAGATAAGCAGGCAACCCTTCCTTTATTACTTGCCCACTAGTTATTCCAATGAGGATAAGCCTTTCCTTTGGGGATTGCATAGATGATTGTCGGGTGTGAAGAAATATGGACACTTAATGCTGTTTCACTGATTTCTGTCCAGCCTCATCCCGCCATGGACAAGGCTAGAATCACTTCGCACAGTACTGCCAGTTCCCGTTCTTGGCCTCGTCCTCCCCAGCCCAAGAGTCTTGATCTAAAGATACTCAGAGCAGTTAAAACTGTGGAAAACTTTGAATGAGGTTTTCCAAGGCTCACTTCTAGGGTATTTTATGGTTTCCTTTTTACCAATGTAGAGGCTGAGCTTGATAGATTAGATTTCAGCCTCCCAGAAAAACTCAACTAGTTGCAGGAAGAGAGGAGGGCAGAGGTCACTGGGCGGGCATCACTTCTACTGTACATCCTGATAGACAACAATGGATTTTTTTAAGTAGCTCCCAAGACTGTGGTTCTGAGTAGAGCAAAAATTATCTGCAGTGTTTTGATTCTCAAGCCCTATCTTAAGGTAGCCATTTGCTGAGTGAGATTCACGCTGACAATGAGAGTTCCAGCTCAAGAAGGAAATGAAAGCCCAAGTCCTAGCTGTGGCTGGCCCGGCCCACCCCTTCCTGATCATTTCTTCCACTGCCCCAGCCCCCTTGGCCTTTTCTTGCCTGGGTGAGGCCCCTCAGGCCTTAGAAGCTTTGCTCTGGCTGTTCCCTCTGCCTGGAAAGCCCCACACAGCTCCCTCCCTCACCCCCTTCAGGGCTCAGTGCACCTGTGACTGCATCAAGGCCTGCCCTCACTGACCGCCCTGGTTAAGACGCAACACCCTCCAACCCCAGCACTCTCGATCCCCTTCCCCTACCTTGGTCTTTGCTCCCTCTCACTTACTGCCTTCGCACACACTCTATAATGAACATGGTAACTGCTTACTTGTTGTCTGTCTCCTACAACTAGAATGTGAGCTCTATGAGGGCAAGATTTTTGTCTGTTTTGTTTTTGCTGATGAACAATACTTATAATAGTGCCTCACATAGTAAAGACACTCAACAGATATTTGTTGAATGAACGAATGAGAAGGATCTGTTGTTTTTCTATTCACAATAAATCGGAAATAACTACTTTTGGGCAGGGACTGTTTTCCATCCCCATAAATCAAGTAAGAGTGCAGAGAAGGTGCTCAAAATTGCTGATAATGGTGCTAGTAGTCCAGTCTTACACCCTCTCTTGGGCACTCATGGAACTGCGCGAGGCACTTGTTTTCGTGCCAGCTGGCCCAGGAGTTTCATTTCTACTAAAGATGAAACCAGGGCTCAGAGGGACAATCATTAGCAAACCATGAATAGAATTCCAGTTTCCCACTTGCTGTTAACTAGACTGTGTCCAAGTAGAATGAAGAGGCTTAGGTTGGCTCGGGAGCATGTCAGCTGTCAATGTTGACCCCTCTCCCTCCTCCTTTCCTGCCTGTCTGGGTCTGGACCTGACGTGGTCAGCTTCCCTCTCTCGGGGGTGGACTTGCCCGCCCACAGGCAGCCCAGAAGCAGAGCGAGCAGAAGCCACGTCTGCATTCACGGCGCGGTGCTGACCTGCACATTCCTGTTCAGGCTCACTGCCGGGAAGAAGAGGCCCTCCATGTTCTCGAAGGCGATGGGCCCTTGCTGTTCGTCGTTGACAAAAAATGTCAAGGTTTTCCTGTTTAAGTCGAGGAGGACTCCGATGGTGGCCCCCTTTGCGATCCCTCCCTCAGTTCTGTGAAAACAACAACAACAAAAAGCATTTGGGTTTTCCTGGCCTGTCATCATGCTAGGAGCTCCCCATTTGTATGGTTAAGTGTTCCTTGACTTGCTTACAAGTAGCATCTCCTCCCTCCCAGGAGCCTTTTAAAACAGGCCCCTCCTCTTTAATCGCTCCTCTTTACACGAAATGTTAATATCACAGATACACTGTGTATTTATTTATGTGTGGATGCATATCTGTGCTTTATATATTAAAAGGGAAGGGTGTTTTGCTTACTCCCCCAAACCAATTTTCACGCCCTTGGGGGAAGTGTGGCCCGTGCTGAGTATGGATGGGTTCAACAGCGCCGCCCTGCTGTTGCTGGGAGTGACCTCATTCACACAGGGTCACCACCACCGAGACTCGAAGCATCGAAGACTAAGAAAGAGAGTAGCCGTTGGGCCCTCTGAGTTCTGCCCACAGCTGTGTCCGACACTCTGCACAGAGGTGTGGATTCAACGTCATTTAATCGAGAGGCACTTAATTTAAAAATCAAAATAGAGAAGAATTTAAGCCAAACTTAAACATACGCATGAAAAATGGATTTGGGGCCTTAGGCTCCCTATTAAATAGAAAAAACTCATTCCAGAAAGATGGTCATTTTTGGCCTGTTGAGTCCACATTGAGAAGTTGGAGGCTCTCTAGAAAGTGACATCGGAGAAGGGGCTCTCGCCTGTAGGAGACGGAGTGATTTTAAAGAATCTGAACTCAAATGTCATTTCACAGTGAATTGGGTCTTATGCTTCAGTGGATGGTTTCGCACACACCATTCAGCATGGATGAGCAGCTTGGCCACTTCCCCTCGTTGAGGCCTAGCAGTATTTAATTTCATCCTCCTCTCGGCAGAGCACAGAAATGTAAGAGTGCTGGTCTTTCCCTCTGGCATGCAGAACACAGACTACACATGGCTGTTAAAAGACAGGTTGATAAATTGTGTCTTGTATTCACACCTTCAACAGTGATAGCACAAGTGACACAAATTTGCATGCAAGCAGGCGTGTTCAGCTTTAAGAATGTGTTTCTCTGCATAGTGTGACAGTGGTCATTATTCACCCCTTCACTTCAAAATAAAGAAGCTAAAAGGGAAAGGTAAGCATGGTCTGTGGGTGGTGGATTCAGAGATCCAGTGACAGAGGGTTCCCCCAAAATGTAGATCACTGAAGAAAACTACTCAGCTGCATCTAGTAGGGTTGGACAGCAGGCTGAAATGGTATGCGTGCTCACTTGGAGAGGCAGTGAATAATACACACCAGCATGAGGTGTAAGAAAACATCCAAGGGAACAGGCATTGGAGGCCCTGGGAGACCCTGGCTAGAGAAGGGGCCGCGATGAGCATGTAGAAAAGGCTGAAACAGTGGAGGCCACTGTCCTACCACTGCCTCACTCACTTTCCTTTTGATCAGACCAATTTTTTTTTTTTTTTTTCAGAGACACCAATGAGAATGTATCCTGGGGAAATCATTGTGAATAAAAAGGACCAGGGTCCATGAAAGATACTTATCTAGGAAATTCATAAAAAAATACATTTGAGGAAGAAGACACAAACCAAATGAAAAGGAAGTCTAGGAAAACGGTTACAGTGGGGGTTAAAACTGTTACAGTGTGGGCTTACATTTTGGTGGTAGAGAAAAACCCAAGGAATTACTATGTTCTCCTTTCCCACCAAACTGGGTGCTCTGAATCTGTCCAATTATAAGAGGCATCTTCAAGTACAAAGCTATCCAAATTGGCATCCACAAGATTTAGTTTATTAACTGGCCTCTCTTCTGAGCAGTGGTATTGGCAATAATCATAAGAGAAACAGTAGCTTCTATTTTCAGATGCCTCTGATGTAGGCATTTTTGCACATTCCATTTAACCTTGGGAACATTCCTGCATAGAAAAATACTAATATCCTAATTTGGTGGATTTAAAAATTGAGGTTTAGAAAAACTAAATAACTTGTCCAAATGGCTTTTCTGTGAAGTGGGACTAGATTTTAGAATCCCGGAATGTGGTCTTGTCATGGGTGCGCATGGGGATTCTCAGCTTCCCGCCACGGGTGGAATATTACAACGAAGGGCCTAGGAAAGAGCTATGTCTCTGCCATTCTGTGAGCAAACAAGCAAACACAATACCCACCAGGATGTTCTCAGTTAAGACTAGTAGAACTCCTGCGCTACTGCCCGACCTCGACCTCCTTAATGTTGTCTATTGAATAGGCCTTTGAACTTGGGCTCTCGTTCTTGACCAGAAGCCAACGTGAAGAAGGCTTGGTTTGGGGGCTGCAGGGTACCTGTTGGTGTGCGAGTTGTTGTGCATGAACCAGCTCCGGTTATTGTCCACATACATTGCCCAAGCTTTGTCGTCCTTTCCTAACATCACATCCTTCATCACGTCGATGCGAGCCACGCCAAAGGCAGGGTCGGGGTGGTTGTCGTAGCGGTCCACAGTTATCTCCCAGTAGTGGACACCCTTGGAGAAGCCGGTCTTCCCCAGCACCACCCGGTCGTCGTAGCTGCTGCAGGTCACAGTCAGGTTGTCGTTGGAGAAGATGATGTCCGCGTGTGCTGAGCCGGGGTCAAAAGCAAACCAGGCCACTGGGAACAAGAGAAAGGAGTGGGGTTAGCGAGATGGACGCGGTGAGCCCAACACCATACCAGGCTCCTGGGCGGCTGAGGGGCGCCGTGTCCCATGCTCATGCTGCCATGCAGGAGGGAGGCGTCCGGGGCCAGAAGGGGCCGTGAGTGAGCTGACAGGGGCCACATCCTGGGGGCTGGGACTCTCTGCGCCCAGAAGCCGACGGAAGGACACCCGACCGATTTAGCAGGGGTTACCTGGCTCAGACTGCACTCCCAACCAGGTGATCCGGGAGTGGAGTGGCATCGATTTTGGAAGGTGCAAGTCCCTTCACCCAGTGACTGGCAGACAGTACACCAGAGACATAAAGTGAGAGGGATGCGCTAAGATGCCTGTGTGGCCCTGAGGCAGGGAGGCTAGGATCTAGAGCCCTAGATGGAGGAGGGATAAACACACTGTGAAACCAGGAAACATTCCTTCGCAGAACTCCATAAATCTAGTCATTTTTAAAATGTCCTCCGTGCTAGTGAAAGCTCAGAAAAGCTGCAAAGCTCTCAGAGACATGAACGGATTTTCCTGAGTGCTTGTGATGTGGACACAAGACAGGCTGCGTCCTTCATAACTTAAACATGCAGCTTGTAGGAGGAATTTGGGACACGAGGTGCAGATAGAATGACGTCTTTGTCCACATTGCTGCGCCCCGAGTTCTAAATGCCGCCTGTCGATCACACACTCTAGAGGGAAGTCACTGCTGACTTATGGAACCTGTGAGCCACCTCACAGGCACTGTGGCCTTTGCTATTTGTAACAGAATAAGTTTATTTCATACCTGCCAACAGCTTTTTAATGTCAACTGTTGTCATTCCAAGTGAAAGGCATGGGAGAGAGAAATAGGAAGCAAAATTGACATTGATAAGAAAACATAGCTCTTTTCATAGGCTAATACCAAAAAAGGGCTCAGTTTTAAACTCTAGGAACACCACAACAGTTGGTCTGACTATTTTTACCCACACTTAGCGCTCATAAAGGGTGCTTGGCATGGATGTATATGTAAGAAAACTGGTCAGAAAAAGTAATCTTTGAGGTATAATATTAAAATACAGGTATCTTTTCCATATTTCTAAATATTTGAGAAGCTATTATAATGGTATTTGAATGACAATTAGACAATTTTATTGACATAAAAGAAGCTATTGCCATTTATTTTGTGAAGGAAATTGAGCATACCAATCACACAGGTAAAAGATAACAATTACAATAGGTATACTTGCCTAATTGAGAGTAAGGTGCAGATTGTGGCTCAAAATTGCATCCTATAAAGAGATACTACACATCAAAGCTATGAAACAACAACCACGTTGATAATAATTATTTGTTTACACTTAAAAAGCACCTGCTGAATAAAGTCACCAGAGGCTTGATTCATGAAAAACCAAAGCCCTTTTATGTTAGTTTACTTGCTGAGTCAAGATTGCTTTTCTGCTTTTTTGAAACAAGAAGTACCTCTTTTTTTTCCATTTAATAAATATTCCTCTAATTTGTACAGCTTAAATTTTCTCCTTCTTCAAATTCAATCGTTTCCACATTAAAAAGGATTACTGTTTAGAAATGAGAAAAGTTCATCCCATTGAAATGGGAGAAAATGCTGGATCTTGAGAAAACTCCATTCTACATCACTATTCCATGCACTTCTAACTCGGGCTAGGCCTTTGTTGTGACTGGGCCCAAGTTAAATGATACGCATGTAATCAAACGGGAAATGTAATCTATATGCTAATAAATACATCTGATAATTATTAATAATGACGTGAATGAAATATAATAAAAATGGCCTCATCTTCTTCTCAGATTGTTTTACTACATCCTTCGCATCTAAGGAAGAGGGGGATTGGTGGATGGTGGGGGTGTGAGTGATCTCAGAGAAGGTTTAGAATCACCTCTGGAACTTTTCCAACGACCACCTTTCCTTAAGATTTGGTACCCCTACCTGCCCCGTGAGAAGTTGCATTGGGTGGAGGAAGCAGTCTTGTATTAACATGTTCAAAGATGTGAGAACTATAATTTCAAGTGGTGCCAGGGACTGCTTAGATGAGCACTAGGGTATCCCCTAGAGAGGATAATTTAATTTGTTTCAATGTATAAGACCCTAATATATTAACTTGTAAAACAATTGAAGGATGATACACTGAATTAAAAGAATTTCAGAAGAATTAAGAAGGGAACTTAGAAAGGACTAATAATTAAGTTAAAAGCAAAATTTAAAGATTTTGAACTTACTTGTTTTTGGTTACTCTGGAATGAATTTGCACACAAAAGAATAATTTTCTCCTGAGAACACATGGAGTTTTAAAACCGAATTTCATATCCAGCTTTGGAAATAAATTTGTAGAATCCCAACAGGGCTTTTAACACGTTTAAATGAATCATGCCTTTGTGCAAGTCTTTTTCAAAACAAGTTTTGTGAAATCTTTTTACACTACTTAAAACACACTGTCAAACATTCAAGATTCAACGATACAACTAAACAGTGCAAACAGCCATTAATTACCCCGAAACCCACATTTCATTTTATTCTTGAGACAATATACATTACAGAGACTATTACAATATTCCAGTACATTAGACACAAGTGAAAAGAATTCCATAACAAAGCATGTCTGAAAGCCAGTAGTGCACAGAAAAACAATAAGAAACGTAAAAGCACAAAGAAAAATGTCATTTTAAAGAGAGCTTGAAGTCCCTGCATCCTTTTTGCACTGTCATGCTGTGGTCTTCTTCATTCCAGGATGTGGGATGAGCAAAAAGAATAAAATAAGAAGCAAAAGAAACCTTTGGAAATGTGAAATGTGCATCACGTGTCTCCATGATTACAATATAGTCCTGAAGAGATCAAATAGGTCTGCATCGTAGATGTTTAAAGTTTCTACTTGCTAGACAGTTCACTGCATGGTAGCACAGGTCTAGCTTTCCTGCAGTCAGCCTAGAGCCCTATCACAACCTGCTTGGCTATAGGAAACCTCTGGGGAGGCCAGACTTTTCAATGACTCAGATCTTTGGGCCTTAAGCTAGTTAAGGGCTTCTAATTCAGCTAGTGGTGGTCCCTCCCCTTTGCTTGGAAAAAAACAACAACCCAAAACCCAGCCTTGAGCCCAACTGTTCTACCAGTGAGCACAGGCTTTTGCAGAAAATGTTTTTACTTTCTACCCTCTGGTTTGCTTATTTGTATGATGCATTCTGCTGTTGGTGTTGCTTTGTCTTATTTTTTTCAATAAAGATCTCTTGAGTCTATGTTTAATCAGACCACTCCAGGCAGGATGCACTGATCCAGTGCCCCAGACAGAGCTGGTTTCCTGGATACAGCAGGGTTGCAAACCTCTAAGGCCTCCCCTCAGCCAGCTCCTGTGCCGTGCTGTGCCACTGCATATGATGCCAGAGCAGGCTGTCCATGGTGGTACCAGCTTGTGCAAAAAGAACAACTTCACTCATCGCTTTCCAATGCCATTGTACATTGACCACAACTCGATGGGGGGGGGGGGGGGGCGGCATCCTCACACCACACAAACAAGACCACCACAAAGCTCCATGGTCCAAGTGCCCCTCATATCAAAGCAGGCCACAAACATCGAGACTCGCTCATGGCCGGCTCCACGCACATGAATGGCAAATACAAAACAGCTATTTCAGAGATGCCTTCAAGGCACAGAGATCAATCAAGAGGAAAGGTCAGAGGGGCTCAGCTCACCCGGTGCATTGAGAGACTGTAAGGAGGAATGCAAGCTCAGCTGGTGGGGTGAGGATCGGAAATCAAAGTAGGATCTCCCGGGAAAGCTGGGCTGTAGATTTAGGGTGGAGGAGAAAGGACTCATTCTACGGAGCGGCAATCTTTCCGAAGGCACTGGAAAAGGGGGTGTCTGTTCTTCTGAATCTGTGTCTAAATGTAAGATCAATGCAAACTGGAGATCAGAAATCTGCCCCCTGCCCGTGCACAGTTCCCCAAGACCGGCCTCACCAATGCATCTGTACCAAGCCTCCTCCAGCCCGCCGTTGTCACAGGCATTTCCTAATCCAGAATGGCTTGGGCTGGGAGGGAATTCTAGGCAGGTCAGAACCCAAGACCAGACGGAGGACGTCACATACAGTTGTTTCCATTTCTCCCAATTTTTCATGGTAGAGAAAGTTCCCTTTTAATGAAATATTTTTAGAGTTGAAATTAGAAACTTTAGAGGTAAATTTTACCCAGGAGTGAAGAGGAGATTAATATTTCATCCTCTTCAGCTAGTTCTGAAGTTGCTACCTCTTAAGGGGTTTCTACTTAGGAGGTGATGATTTTTACCAACTCTCTGCTGTTCCACATTTCCCCTCTTCTCTCCATACATATTTTTTTCCATTTCAAAATGGATGATTTTTCTATACCAGTACATTCGAGACTTGCTCTTTGGATAGGCGAGGAAAATAGGGCTGACCATTGCAGAAGGAGTCTTACCTCTGTTTCTGAGTTATGATCAGACCCTAGGGATGCCCCTTGAACATCTCTGGTTCTCTAATAATAAACAAACTGTGGGCAATGGTGAGGTGAACTGGTGGCAAAAAAAGGTCTTTATGTTCAGATAGTCAGATCTGGTGTGAAGATCACTATTACACCAGAGAAAGGACTTACCAACTACTTGATCTGGCTTTAGAAGGGCTTGTGAGGTAGTTTCTCTAAATTACTAAATTCACTCCTTTCTCTTTTGTCAATCAATAACTGGTTCTTTGCAGTCGGGTGGTCTGGGCAGAGATTGATGTTTTACCAAATGGGGCCTTGTTAGAACATAGTTTGATAGTCATAATTTAGCAACTACACATGACATGATTGTAAGAGTCAATGTCCAAAACCAACAAGGAACTTTCTTCCCATTGAAAAAGTAATTTTACTTCAATGGCCAGAGGGTGTTCTTGAGGATATTTTTCTGGCTTGAGCCTGGTTTGAACACACCCTTTATCCTGTGAAAATGCTATTATGTTCAAGCAAAAAACTGAGTGCATGCTTGTGGAATATGATCTTCCTTGAAGGGCTCAGAACAGGGGCCTTGGTGGGTTTTCATTTTAATATTGTCAAGAGTCGCCTCATTTTCATTTCTGAACTTAGAATAAGAAAGTTAGCTTTTTAGGCTTTAGACTTATTCTTGAGGGGATTTTTTTTTTTTAAAAGAAAAGTATAAACCAGATCTCAGAGAAAAGGAATTGCTGTTTATGGACCTAAGACATCATGGTCCCAATGAGAATATATTTAAATTTTCCTCCACCTAAACTTTATATGGTTTGGATGATTTGACATATAGGATCATGTCTTTCTTCAGAAATAGTAAATAAGAATTAGTTCCTGTTATAATTATCTCAAGGGGAAATTAGTCTTTTAGTTTAATGGGAAAATTTGAAAAACAACAATACAGCACCACAAACTGATGTGGACTTCTTTTAGGGAGAAAAGGCATTTACAGTATATTCTTGTCATTAAAAGATCTTTTATTGAAAAAAAATCTCTGGTAACAATCAATTTATTATATTGAAAATAGTTGTTGCTTTAAAAATTAAGAGAAAGGGCATATATAGTAAAATTAATTTCAGAGTATATCAAAACCCCAAATACTCATCTGAAAATCAGTGAAAAGATATGTACTGAATCCAGACCTTGGGAGCATATATGAGCACATTATGGATTGTACTTACCTTTTCTATTCTCAGCACCAGGAAAAAAAAAACTTAAAGTTGGTGAGAATACCACTCCATGGGGTGAGGAGTGAGGGTAGCTATCATTATTCATGGGATTAATAGCTCAACACTAAAATAGTATTGTTTTTCTATCCTTTTATGTGGCACCATTGTTTATTGATGACCCAGTTTTCCTTGACTCCTCTTATTCTTGAAATATGCCCTCTATTCAGGCAGGATTATTTAATAACCACATTACCCAACCGTCCATTTCTGTCTTTGAGTTTTTCCCACCTATGGCCACCCACACCCTACCAGCTGGGCTCTTACCCCATGTTCTCTAAGGAGCATCTCAAATGAATTGCAAGAGAGAGAACACATTCCGCATGAGTGTCTTTATGCCCATTCCCATGAGCACTTAGTGCAAATGTTTGGTCTGCTGCCTACGGACCATCTATGCCACTTGATATTATCTTGGTTGCAGGAGTCTTAGAGGGAAGACACATGGTGGTAACATCTGAGGAGCAATCATCAAACTCCCCCTTGAAATCCCCTGCATTGAGAAACTCATCATCTCAAGGCAGCTCACTGGTGTATAGTTATTGCTTATATAGGTTTGGAAATGCCTCTTAGGGAGCTCCAGTCATCATTTGTAGCATTCCTACCTGGGATCACACAGAACAGATCACTAGGTCTTCAAGTATTTGAAGGCAGTCACCAATCCCCTTTAGTTCCTTCCTTTTTCTGGGATAAGTAGAATCTATTTCTGATCTTCCTTCTATGGTAAGGTTTTCAAAGCTTTAATCTTGCCCTTCTGGACATGTTTAAAGACATGAACCAAAGACAATAAGAAAAATTGGGAACTGTATGTCACTCCCTTGTTTGGTTGAATCACATAACTCACATTGTGCATACACACAGCTAGACATGTATGTATTTTGTGTTGTAGCATGGGATGCAGGAAGTATGTACATCTCACTCCCCCCCACCCTCTTCAAAGCACAAATATTGAGACCTGGAGAAGGCTTCTCAGCCATTAGTATTCTATTAGTCAAGAGACAAACAGGAATGAGATTATCTCCCCCCCCCCCCCGCCCCCAGAATACATGGTGCAAAGCCATGTTTCAGTTCATAGCTAATGTCCAGGATGATGATCATTGGTTTTTAGCATGTAGACCACTAGAGAAAGACAAGTACATCCTTCAAAGGCTTTATGTTCCTGTCATGTTTCATCCCATGCAGTGATCCTGTCTGCTAAGTAAAAAGACTAAAGAGCAATGGAAAACAGTATGGCAGCTGCATACTGGTGTGACCACTCTAGGCATATCTGCGACACTGGGATGGGGATTGTGTTCATAATGGGAATAGGTCAAGACACTTTCCATCAACTCTGACATGGACCATCATTTTCCTCTTGCCCTTGTCTGGACTGCTTGCCCTTCTCACCTGGGGTTGCGGGATCAAGAATTATCAAAGCAAGTTTGGCTGGTGGACCTCATTAATTGCCTACTGACTTTTGCGTTTGAGGTGAAAAAAAGAATATCTGGGTGGTACTTCTGTTTGGCTAACTGTATATTTCTTTGATTCATTAGCTAACATTTATTGAATACCTACCATGTGCCAAATATTGTATTAGAACTAAGCAGCCAGGAAACATGAACTGGCAGGAAAGCTAACCATAGAAAAAGAATAATTTAGAGAAAGTCTGTGTTTCATAGTATTGATTAATTTTTCACTCTTCTGGGAGTAGAGCTTCTTGACTGATTCCAACATATACAAAGCACTAAAGATTTCTATGGACATCATAGAATATTGTGGAAGTGTAAATACAGTATTGGAGGTGTCCTTTTTGAAATTCAAAGAGGAAAGGCAAACTGACAGGGGATCCTTCTGATAGCGTGTGCTACTCCAGCTGCCTCTGTGCCCTGGTGGATTCCTGGTGGTCTCCCTGTCTGCTAGTGAACAGCTTGGTAACTTCAGCAGCCCTTGGGCACTGGCCTAGCGAGACGGCTGCATTTCAGAGCACAGTAAAGCAAGAAATGTCACTAAGGACAGTGTGAGCAGCATTAAAGGTGAGTTTCAGTTCAATTATAAGCCAGCTGGAAAGAATTTGCATTTGTTGGGAAGATTTTCAGAGAGAAAGAAATGAATGAAGGAGGTCGAGTTTCCTTCAATGGCCTAATAAGCATCCAGAGTCACAGTGATGTCCACTGGCATATAATTTCCAGTGGAGGGTGGTATTTTAAGCTTTCATAAGTGTGGCATTAATTGCAGTTGAGAAGTGAGAAACAAATCTGTTTTGAAACCTTTTATAAGAACAAATGCAACAGCCTCTGACTACCACTGGGATGGCTGCATACTTTGTCCCCAACTCCTCCACTCCAATTGACAATACCATGGCATTATTTCTAAGGAACTGTCATCAGAAGAACCAAAAATCCCTGTTTCAAACAGATAAAAACAGATAAAAGAGGTTCCAGAGGACTAACCTGCTCCCCAGAGTGTCAACTGCAAAGCACATTCCTCAAAACAAAAAATAGGATCTGGATCCAATTTGGCCCAATGGAAACCCTCAGGAAGTTCCCTGGGATACGGTGCATGTTCTCAGAATTAAAAGGAACCGAGTGTCTCTCCTTTCTGGGCTCTGAGACCTGTCATCATGCCTTTCACCTTGGACGTGATAAAATCCGCCCAAATTTGTTCAGGAATGATTTACCTGCCATGAGGATTTTGCCCTGAAAATGCACGTTCTCCTAACGAAATTATGTTGGGAGAGGCTTTAGGAAAAGCCAAACAGAGGCATAGGAAAAGTACCTACAGTGAACCATACTTCTCCTGATGTGATCCCTAGTCAGCTGTCTCCTATTAGTGTTGAAATTTCAGTAGCACAGGCAGATCTCTAAGACCCAGGAAGACCCTCTGAGGAGGCGGGAGCTGTCTACACCTGTTCATAGCATTTTCTGAAGTAGTTAACAGCTTTCAGGAGTAATTTTGAAGAAAGAAGCCACGGGGGGGGGGGGGGGGGGAGAAACACAGAGGGTACTTATTGTAGGTCATCTGCTCTCAGTCTATAGACAGAAACAACAAACAAACAAACAAACACCCGAAAAGACCCCAGAACAACAACAAACTGAAATCCTGAGAGATTAAAGGACACATCCAAGCTTTTAACTGTGACAGGACAGGAGAGGGACCCAGGCAGGATCAATTCCTGGTGCATAAAATTTTGGAGGTGACAAT